ATGTCGACTAACTTTTAACTGGCATTTAATGTAAAAGTAATTAACCGTCCGCGTGATCTTATCGCTCGGGCGCGAAGAAGTCGAGTGGGAAGAAGGCGCGCGCGTTCTTCAAGAATCTCTCAACAATAGGCACGTGCTCTTTCATGATGCACCCTCGTTAAAGTAATTATGCGAATTGGATGAAACCTAAGAAGCATCACGGATACCGTTCTTACGTATCGCCGTTGAGAGCGAGATTATTAAAAAACTCCTTTTCGCGAAACAGAAATGAGATTATTCATTTCTTTACTTCTTGGCAATTAAATTATTAAAAAAAAAAAAAAAGTCAATTACATATCCACAGCGTGCGTCATTCATTCTCATAATGAGCGTTCGCTTATATCTTAACTTTCGACATTTGTTTTACAAAAAAAAAAAACATTTCAAAGAACGCATCGAATACACACACATGAGATATTTATTAATTTATTTATTATTAATTTTTCTCTGAAAATTTTTATCACCTCTCTTGATCGCAGTCGTCAGACGTACTTTATAACAGTAACAAAGTTTCGATCGCGTACATGAATCAACGCCAGCATTTATATCTTCCACAAGGTTTTGCGGCTATTTCGAGTAACACAACAGGCTATCATTATCTCGTCTTTGTTCTGTGATAATAACGGCGATAACACCGCCGCGTATACGTAATGTATCTTCGTGGAACCTTTTCGTTTCTGCGTCTGTGATGTATTACATGTAATCTCGGGAGACGCGCATCCACCACCGCGGTATTCTCTCAGGTATGTACGTACGCGATATATTTCAGGACGACGAACGCGGTTTTCTTCGTGTGCGGGAGATATAAAGAATAACGATAATTTTTCTCTCTCGACGTCTCGTGAAATAAATTTCGTGTAAAATAAATTTTGATCCACACGGGACGGAAGAATGCGCGTCGGAAAAACGTTTTGCGCGTTGTTGTTCACGCGACTCCGTTTTTTTTCCCCGCCTCCTCTCGTCCCCCCCTCAACCCTCAATGTTCGTCGCGACAGAATTTTAATATGCGACACACGTGTGTTTACCGCGTATCGTTTGTTTCTTTGCACAATGATATCACGCTCGAAGGATGCTCATTACGAATGACGGTGGCGTTGCGCAAATCAATATTTGGCTTCTTAAACTTGGCCTCCTTAAAATTTCATCGTCGTGACCATTTGACGACGGATTCGCGTTGACACAAAAAAAACTTTGAACACTACAAAACAAATGTTCTTCCGCGCGTCGAACACGAGTCATTCGAACACGAGAGCCGCCTCTCTTCTCTCTCATCTCAATCTTCCGCGAACAAACTGCGCTCGTGCTTTTTATTGTCGCAAATTGTCCGCGCCAAGTGCAAATTTATTATTAAAACAACGAGAGCGAGCCGAATACAAATTCAAGCTCGAAATATAACGCGCACGGCGGTATTTAGCGGCGATCCTGAACGCATCGTTAGATAGAAGCGAAAGTGAAAGTACGCAAAGTGTCTTTGACATCGATCATCCGGCGGATCGATGGAAACGCGTGTGTATTGGCGATCGCGCACCGCCGAGAGAGAGAGAGAGAGAGAAAGAGAGATCGTTGCGTATCCGGAATTCCAATTGGGGAACAAAATAACCTCGCCTTGTTAAAAACAAAACGCGCTCTCAATGACGGTCCTTGGGACCGCGCGCGCGATAAGGCCCGCCGGGAATTAAAAAAAAATTAACGAGGAGAACCCGCGCGCGTGACACACACACACCGGTAATATTTAGCCGATTATTATATATATTACCAACTCACCCGAACGAATCGCGGCCGTTCGAAGCCGCCATCGTCTGCGATGTCCCCTGCCACGATCGGAACGTTCATTGTAGTAGCGGATGCCGTCGTCGCATCGTCGTCGTAATCCGTCAAGTCAAACTCGCGGCCGTGTTCCAACGCAGGAAAGCACCGCGCACGTCACGTGCATCGTTCGTGTCACTTCCGATCGATTATCACAAGCCAAGTGGCTGTGATTTTTTTCAAATCCCAGCCGGTCGAGATAGAGAGATAACGTCGAGGACGACACCCGCGGACGGGGACGATTCTCTCTCTCTCGACTTCTTGAAAAACTCTTCTCTACGAAAGCGAACCGCGTCACACTCTCGATTTCTCGCCGCGCGGCAAATAAATCGCGGATCGATGGAGCGCGACTAAGGCCGTTACGCGGGCTTAATCGTCCGCGAATTGTCGGCAGCCGTGAAGTTCGTCGACGACGACGACGACGGGGCAACTCTTCCGGCAGAGCAATTTTGTGCGACGAGTCCTTCCACGGAACGAGACACGAATGTCAACCGTCGTCGATCGCACGGAACGGCCACAGGTGAACGCGCGCACGCTACGCAAGGAGAGCTCACCGCGCGAACGCTCGTGTTGAACTGTCGCGCAACTCGCGGCGCTGCAGCACGCGCGCGCGCGCACGTTCGTTCGCTCGTTCGCTTACCTTCTCGTCCGGCGGCTACGCGTGCGCCCGAGGGTTACACACACGTAAGGTTACCACACAGGTAAGGTAAAGGGTACTTACAGGAGTCGCGGCTCCCCGAACACAGGTAGTATGTACATATTAAATTACGACTGTGTCTGAGATTGGCACAGGATTTTTAACGGTCACTCTCGAAATACCTCCGAACTGTTCTTTCGTTTTCTTCTTCTTTCTCGTCTCTCGACTCGGTTCGAAAATGGCGGAGGAGGGGGGGCGCCAAATATCGAAGATCGTCCGACCGCGAGACCAGACTTTGGTCTTTCTCGCTTTTATCTTCCTCCCCGGCAAAACTATCGTAAGAAAAAGAGAGAGATAGTTTCGTGAAATATTTCAAGAGTGACCGTTTGGACTCGTGCGATGTCTCGCCGGACAGACCGACAGCCGCACCGTCGTCGGCGGCGGCGGCGGAAAAAGACCGCCCGCACGCAAAACATGATGTCTCATCTCACAGTCGTGTTTTCCTTTGTGAAGATTTGTCACGTCTCTCACCTTCGGCGGTCGGGTTTTTCCTCTCGTCGTTTTTCTTTTTTTTTTTCCTCTCTTTTTTCCACCGGCGCGCGTTCTACATACTTCGATTTTTGCAGGTACTTTCTACTCCTCGCGCGAATGATGTTGCACGAGAGTTGCTCGCCGCTGTGTGTTGCACGCGCACACAGTTACACGAAGTGCATTCCGCTGTCAATCACGTCACCTGTCAGAGAAGAGCGAAGCGCCGGATTCTCATTTGATAACGGAAGAAGTTCGCCGTTTGCGGCCGTTAACTCCCGCCGCAAACTCGGACGAAACTAATCGGAGCGATGTGGAGCAAGTCGAGTGTTTGCAGATTTTGTTTTTTTTTTTTTTGTTTTTTTAATAAGAAGCGCTTGGGTAAGAATCACACACATACACACACACGGAATGTGTTGAGTTCGCAGAAAAATTTATTTGCAATTTAACAGGTGGCATCTGTTAATCGACGGTGACGAGTCATCGTTTGCAGGATGTGCGAATTCGATTTTTCACATCCTGGAGGAGTCTCGTTTTCCGAGTATTAAATTATATTCTAAATTTACTTTATTTTTACACATATACTTGTATTATATTCCTTCCACGCGGAATCCTTTCGGAGAATTCTGTGACGAGAGAGGATCGCTGTGGAAATACACCGTGACATACTGTGCTGCGGGCGCCTTGCCGGCACAGTGGCGTAATCGTGGAGGGGCCACGACGACGAGGACGGTCATCGGGACGGGAAAGGTCGGGACGCGGGCCTTTCACCGTGGAACGCGAGAGGAGGATCGTCGCACGTGCGTTTCGCGGAGTTATCATCACCGCGATATCACGTGCGAGATACGTGGTATAATTCCTCTCCTCCCTCCCGAAAACACTCGCCGCGAGAAATATTCGTTCAGGAAAACGCGAGAGCGGGGTGTTCGAAAGTCTCCCCTCGCCTCTCCGCCTTCTTCGTCGTTAAATACACGCGTTATGCACGTTGTCGAGCAAAACCGGTGATTGGTACCGCCGATAGGTTCGCTGCACGTTTGCGCAATGTCGTTACATTACTTTGCGGCGGAGAAACGAACGCGAAACAGCGAACGTTTAAACGCTTTTGTTATCGAGCCACTTTGCAATCGTTGTGTGTTTGACGAAAGATCATTCGGGCGATGCGCTTGCGCGCTTTTGAAGAGTAAATATTAATTTTGTTTTTTTTTTTTTTTAACGTCTGATCACACAAAACACAACATCATCTCGCGGATAGATGCTCTTCTTCGGATGCGAAGAAGAAAAAAAAATATGTTTGCAGACGACGGGAAAGAGAGGGAGGAGAGACTATCTCGTCCGAACGTGCGAGGCGAGCGAACGCGCGATCAAGGTGTTTGTCTTAAATATAATATGATCGATCGATATCTCACGTATAATCTACGCGTGACTGAGCGCGTCGCACGGTATGTAACTCGCGACCGCGACGACATGGTTTTACGTTCCCTCGATTTCTCTCGAACGTTAAACACACTCGATATTCCGATGCGACGCGCGGATTGCGCGTATGCACATACATACGTTCCTCGCGTGGATTACGTCAACATCGCGATGAAATGAAGTTCTCTTCTCGAGAACACACGTTTTTTCGCTTTGCTCGTTATTTAATTTTACATTCCGCTGACATTCTACACGCGCGCGCGCGCGGCACCTTCGCATACGCAATGAGCTGCATTTTACATTAATTGAAAATGTCCTTCTGTCGTGAATTATACCGGACTTTGCTACCAACTCGACACGTACATCTGAAATACGTTTAATATATATACATCGTTCGATACTTGTTTCAAACGTACAAATGACATTTAAAAACGGTTAACAGCGACGCGATCTGTCGTCAAGATTTGTTATCATAGAGAAAACAGGTTGAGAGAAATAATAGACACGTGTGTGTGTGTGTGTGTATGGGTGTAATAATAAGATATTAATATTATTCAAAAACTTCCACGTATTCACAATATACATACAATGTAGTACTTAAGTACTCTTAAATACAATATTACATATATATATATATAAAACAAAATCGTTCGTTTTCATTGCGAGATTCAAATTTGTTGTTGGGCGCAACGCACGACGGTCAAAGTTTCCCTTGTACATGCACACGTGTGTAATTATTTCAGAGAAATGCTCATCATCGCGCGTGCGCTCTTTTTACGTATATCGGTACGTATAATAAAAAAAAGGCATGTGTGCTGGAATATAATACAAAAGTGCGCATTTATGGTCTCTGGCCACGTAACGGCCCGCGTTTCGTCGCCGATGCTAAATGTACTGTAGAGGAAAAGAAGAAAATGCGCATGCACGTGAAAACGAAGATAAACTTATCGACGACGACGACGACGAGGACGACAACGTCGTCCGAAAGTCGTGCGTAAAGAATGCGACGTCGCGAAGGAGAGACACTTCCGCGATTTTTGCGGCTTCCCGAGAACCGGCTCGTTACGTCGCCTTTCGCTTAGACATTTCGAACGTGCCTGGCATAGCCGCCCCACTACCATAAGCGCGGCTACCTTTGCTCCGCTAAACTAAACAAACGCGCCGGACCCGTCGATCTTTATCTATATTACCGGAGATTTTCCACCGCGCGAGAGAACACACGCGCGTTTCATCTCGGTCGCGTTTTTGAATTATTGTTCGTTATTTTTTACACAAATTTCACGCAAAACAACAACTCGAATTAGGCCCGCTCGAATGTCCCACCGCCGTTTCCGTAGATCCGAAAACGGCGATCGGCTTCCTGTCAAAAGCGCGTCCAAAAGAAGCAACAAAATCGCAATCCCAAGTTTCTCGCGAGTTTCGCGTGCGATTTTTAACGTTTTGATTTTTTGATTTAATTTCGAGAAAAAGATACCAAAAAAAAAAAAAATCCACATAATGTTGCGTTACGTTATTTATTGCTAAACAATAATCGGATGATCACACATCGCCGTTTATCGCCTTCGATCATCTCCTCTTCTCGCATTCCCTGAGGGTTTTTTTTTTTGTTTCTTTTCACCGTCGTCGAGAAGGTGTCGACTCTGACACAAATGTCGCGCGCGAGTCTGTCACTAAATTTTAGTTATCACAAATTGCGCATATTAATTACATGTCGAGTAAACTATTCGTCCTAAAATTAATATTTCAGTTCTTTTTGCTCGCACATAATAGATTAACATTAATCAGCTGTGTGTACAAGAATATAACGATGTATTTTATTATATATAAAAGATGGAAATATACACGTGTGATCTACAAAAGTGAGACGAGAGATGATGTTGGTGTTGTAATTATTAAAAATAGGGGAGAACGGGGTCACACACACACAACGCTCAGCGGATCGGACCGATCGTCTCAATTTTGCACAAGAATAATATTTTAAATAATATATAGTATATTACTTTTTATCTAATATTTTACTTCGTATAAAATTTATCTTAACTAATGTATTATGCGTGTATGAGTAACTACAAAACACAGAATACATTCGATGAAAAACCGGATATTTTTAACACAAAGATATTATATAATAAATCTTTTTTTGATCGAGCGTCACGTTTACCCCGTTCTCCCCTATATCGCAAAATCTGTGTGTCAATTCCGTGTAGAGAGTCCGTCTTTAATATATTTTACAACACACACAAAGTGCCTCGAATATCGTTAAAAAAAAAAAAAAAAGAAAAAAAAAAGAAAAACCATTCTCATTGAGAATTGTGAACAACGAGTTGAACGTTTAAAGAGCTGTACACGTTATCTTCGCGATTATTATTCTGTCGGATCATCAGCGAAGAAGTCCGTTTCACGGTAAAACGTATCATTACCGTTTTTTTTTTCTTTTTGTTTTTCATTTCGCAATAAGAACGCCGATTTGCAAACCTCCTCCTCGCGTCATGCGAACAATTACCTTCGCATGCGAATATTGTTAGAAAAAAAAAAAAAAAAGAAAAAAAAAGGACCGCGTTGCCTTTTTACATGTATACTGTATATATAAATGTGGTAACCAAGACAAGTTACTTGTTCCCGTGAGTTTTTAATAAACAACATATTTACAAAATGCATCACGCATCATCTGTATAAAGTCGCACAATGATTTTCAAAATTCGGTCTGCGCGCGTACGTTCCCTATTCGAAGGTAAAAATATATATTATATATTTACAGCAACATACATAAAAATAGAAATGCAAGTCGCGTTTCGCTTTGACTCGATCAGAAACGGCAGTAGAAAAAAAGGCTAGTGAGATATTACGTATGCGTCGCGCTTTTCATAGTAGTAGTTACAAATTGCCTATTCGACTCCGCCGGTATTAAATTTATTATTAAACCTTATTCGTTATTTACAATGGCGCTGAGTTAAATATATGTGATTCTTCATTTCAAAATTATATCATCGGTGTTGCCCGGGAGAAAGCGTGCGATCAAAAATTCGTACGCTATTCTTCTCGTCGAGAGTTTGCGGCGTGATTATTATTATTTACTATAGCGCATTGTGTGTGTGTGCAAACGCACTAAAAAAAAATTGTATATTTGTACAATACAATACTTACATCCGCGAATGTATTCAAACATACATTAAAGGAAGACTTTGTTTTTTACTTGGTTCGTATCGTAAAAATCGCAAGTGAATGATACACTCGATAACACGACACAGAGGATCCGCTCTATGTGATGGGTTGGGGAACTTTTGCTTTTCTTCCATTTTTTTTCGAAAACAAACAAAAAGTATCGACCTGTCACGTCGCACGATGACGATTCCTCATTCATTGCCGTTCCAGCGATACAGTGAAGTGCGTAAAATCACAGCAACGAGTATAGGACGGAAACCCGGAATGCATTCCGGCGGGTTATGCCGAACTCAACAGCTCTCTGCAACAACAATACAGATTGTGCTGAAGTACAGTGACGAGTGTGTGTGTGTGTGTGTATATATAATATACGAGTGCGTGCTCAAAATTATCTGAATGTCAACAAACAGCAGTTACAAAAGAGTTTCCGCAAAGCATATATGCATATCCCATTGTTTATATTAAACTATATAAAAAATTATTATCTTCTACAAATTATCGTCAAATACACAAAGAGACGAAGATGCAATTGATAAAATTAGCGAAATCGTTCGAAGATGTTTGTTACGTAATTTCCGCTGGTTTGAGCGGCGCTTCTCGCGTACGCGCTGGTACAAATATTTGAAACGAGTAACGATCACGCGATTTCTATTAAAAAAAAAAAAAAAAAAAATGTTTTCAACCATAATTGGTGAGCAAAAGTTTACATTTCACAAAGTGGTACACACATGCAACATGCGCGCGAGAGACCAAGCGTGCGGTCTAATCATGCCTCGTTTCTCGAGAAGCATTCCTCTTCTCAGCGATTAAAATACGGTGGTGTTACTCACGTTGAAAGTTCTCTCCCTAGTAAACCAGACCCCACCAATCCAGTGCGCGATCGACTCCTGTTTAGTTGCGCTCTCCTCTCAGCTGGAAAAATTGAAACAAGGAATTGTGAGCTCGTTACACACGGATATCGAGAGGACGGAAATATTTTTATCGCGGAACGCTAAGGTGCGACATTTCGAGACGATTTTTTTTTTTTTTTTTTTGACAAAACTTCGATGTTTGATCCAAACATGTAGTTTACTGTTACTTCTTAAGAAGTTTTATATAAATTGTCCACATATAAACGTATAGTTTGCCGGTATATTAACAATATTGAAAAGCGTGTAACATCTGTAATAACAATTTATAATTTCTCATGGAGTTTGTTCATCAGAATTATTTTATAAAGTTAATTTATATTGCAGACGGTCCTTTTTTTTTAGCCGTTTATGTCTTCGTTCATGTCTTTGTATCTTTGAGAAACGAGATAATACACAACACACACACACACAACATTGAACACATTACAAGGAAAACGATATGAAAATAAACAAGTAAAAAGAAAACAATATAAAAATAAACGAGTAAAAATTATAAATTGTAAATTCCTTTCATTTAATTAAGAATAAAAAATATATGTTTTTTATACAAAACAGTCGCAATACATAATTCATAAAAAAAGACTAGAATGTTTTGAGAATCACATTTTAAAATGTAAATGTATATATAACAATCTTAGAAACAATTATTATTTTTTTTTTTTCATAAAAAAAGGCATAATTTAGTTGTTTGAGAAAAAATAAACACTTTTCTTCAATATATCGCACAAATCAATCAGTAATATAGGGAAAATTTATAATTTTGCATATTTTCTCATCTTTCAACAAATGTTACGGTTTACATGATATGTATAAATAGTTCAAACTGATTATTGACAAACAGTACCGTAGTCTGCCTCTTTACAATCGTTTTTCAAACACTTGATATAACACAACTTTAAAATACCATATGAATTAATTGTAAATTTTTTATATCACAATTCCTATCACATTTATAAGTCTCGAATAATAGTTGCCTGTCCTACAGTTTCTGAATAATTTATATTTGTATATGTACATATATATTGAAATTTTATATAAATTGTATTTAAAAAAAATTAATATAAAAAAAAACCATTGACTCGACTAGTTCAAACTATCACATTGGTATGAGAATTATAATACTCCACGAGCAATTATATTGCAAAGATTCAACAATAGACATCTTTTCAAAATATGTTACTGCGTCGTTTAGTTTGAAGACTTGGTCTCTGCAGCTTTGTATTTTAACAGTTTTTCATATCGGAATGTATCTCGGCACAAAACGGTAAAACAAGCTATTTTAAAGCTATAAAACTTTCATTTTCTTTCAATCTTTTCCTCTCTCTCTCTCGTCTGTTTTCTCGATCTTTTTTTTTAATTCCCGATATAATCCACTCTCGTGCGAGATTAAATAAAAAGCAGCGCGCGTATGGATTTCCGCGTATTAAATGGAATTTACAGAGGTTCGCCAGAACTTCCAGTTTCTCTTCCACAATTTGTTCTTTGTTTTCTTCAGTGTACATCTTACACCCGAGCCACTCGTGTTCGGAATAAATGACTCGTTGATACTTGGCCATTTTTCAGAACTCTCCAGATCTTGCGCGATAAAACAGAAAGAATCCGTCTTGTTCACACGCAACAGACTATCTTCCGATAACAATGTGACTTTATTTATTTCGGTCGGTAGCGATTGCGCCACGGTTACCTGCTCCGTGCTCGAGAGGTGATTGGATACATTCGCGTACGGGGACTCGCATTTCAAATCTTGTATGTTGTGATTCTCGTCCCTGTATCCGGCAAGATTCTCAAAGTTTTTCGATCGCAGGAGTCTGACCGGAGTGGATGGCGTTTTGAACGGTTTAGCGCGAAAACTGTCGATCGATTTGGACATGTCTTTGTTCGTGAGATTGACGTCTATAACGGGCGAGTTTGCGATTAACGGCACGGTGATGTTCGCATTCGATGGGGGCAAGTTGCAACAAAACTTGCGGCGCTTCGCGATTATGTTATTTATGCGCGTACGTTTGCGATTCGCTATAGCGCGACGCACCATACTGTTTCTTCTGCGCAATCTGTTGATCACAACGCGCCTCTGTCTAACCGGACTGACCAAACGCGCTAGACTGAGAAAATTGTTTCCGTTGACCAGTGGACTCGAACTCGCGTCAATGTCCGAATCATCGTATCTGGATTCCAGATTTCCAAATGTTTTCAATGATACGTCTCTTTTTGGTGTTTCCGCAGACTCTGACATCGCGTAATACGCATAATTGTGGATACTGCGCTGTTTCTTTTTCTGAAAGAACGTGATTCTGGATCGTTTCAGTCTGGGCGTCTTTATGGCCTCTTCTATCAGCATTTGCCTGTAGAGCTCTTGATTCTCTTCCGGCGTAAAGAATTTCGTCGAATCGACCGCCGCGTCTAAATTAGCCACGATCCCGCTCGGAAGGACGTTGGGTCCCGCGATCGTGGTCGGAGTTAAGTTTTCGTGCGTTAAATCAGCGGACTGGTTCGAAAAATTGCTAAACACATACGACTGCGTTGCTTGGTCCTTTATCGCCACTCGTCTTCTGATGTACGTAGTCCTAGAGAACTTACCACCAGCTACGCGTGTCGGTCGCTTGCGTCGTTGGTCCGGTCGGCTGAAGGCTGCTCCAGTCTGCAGCGCCTCCATCAGACTGTCCATAACGCCTTCCTGCGTCTCGTGCGCGTTCATGTCGACTAGTGCACGTTTGCGCGCAGCTCGCGCCGCCTTCTCCGCTTCTGCCTTCTCGCGCGCTTCTCTCGCCCGTCTCTGCTTCTCCTCGCCCTCCTTCAGCTTAATCATCTCCTTTTGTGCTTGCTACAAAGATTCGGTAACACAATGCGAAATATTAAATCAAACAATTTTTTAAAGAGCTGCTCGATTGAGATGCATATCTCTCAACATAATAGAAAATAATAGAAATGTTCGCGCGTAATTACCAAGAAATCGTCCTTGAACGTCTTGATGTCACCAAAGAATTCCTCAATAGTGTACTTCTGCTTGTCGAAAGAAAAGAATTCGGAAATGTCCGTGTATAAGCCGTCCATATTCTTGAACATGTTCTGCAGAACTTCGTACGAATCTCTAGCCTTTTTGGCAAATGGCTGTGCGAAAAGACTTCGTTAAGGAAACTAAGTTCTTTGTACGCGTGCGTGGTATGTACAAACGGTGCTTTTTATACTAAACATCAAAACGGTTGTTATTGACAAATAATGAAAAAATACCTTCATAACATCTATAAATAGATCGTCATCGCATTGCGGAACTTTGGCATTTGAAAGATCTTGCTCGAGATTACGGATATTGGTTTCCATTTGGCGTAACGTTCGCTGAACGTTCTCCAAAGACACTCGACTAGCGCGATCTACATGCGATAGTTCCTCAATGAAATTGAGACATTCCGGAAACTTTCTTTCTATCGTGGTCACCAAGTAATGCATGAGGGTTTGCTTGTTATCGACATCTTTCGTGCTGGTCAACTGGAAAAAAATTAAAGAAAAACGCGATAATGATCACAACGATCGCGACTAACAACTAGCAATTAATATACGCGAGCGTTTGTTGCATATTGGATCACGAAAAAAACGAACCTTCGTTAGAAAACTAATTTCAAATCCAAACGCTTGGCCATTTCTAGAACCTGAATTCATGTAATTTCCAAGTAGCAATATCAATTCGAGAATACGCGCGAACTTCTTGCTGCTTTTCACTTCTTCGCATGCCGCCGTAGCCGCCACGATGTCCGGTTTCACATCCTGTATCAGCTCCTCGTATTTCAACATAAAGCTCAATGATCGTAATCTCGGCAGTAACCTCTTTATCGTAGATATCTGCAATCATCAACGTTATCGCTCGTCACGATTGAATTTCTACGCGTTAACAAAAATTTGAAAACAATCGCGTTAAAAGTTTGAAAACAAAATTACCGTAACGCAAAATTGTTCTGCCTCAGTCAGATCGTCGTACTGATCTTTGTACATTTGCAACTTCGATAACTGATCCGGCGGTGGCAAATACTGAATTAATCCTTGTAATATGTTGTCCGAAATAACTGGTCCCTCGCATCTGAATAAGCATTTCTTCACTTCCACGTACGGCATGTGCTTCAGCGTTCCGCCGAGAAGTATCGATATATTTTGAGCAGCTTTACCGTCCAAAACCTTGAGATCTTTCACCTTTTTCATCGGAGCTGACCTGCGTGCACGATAATATTGATTGACAAACGCGTGTATGCGACAGAGAAAAAAATTAAATCATTTATCAAGTGAAATTTACTTATCAACTACGTCATCCAGTTTTTTACCACTCGGTTTGGATGCGAACTTTTGCACAAGACCGTCCAATATTTCCGGACTTGCCAATCTATCTTCTTGTACTTTTGTCCAGAATGATTTTTCTGTTAATTTGTGAGGTAAAATCTGAAATATCACGAAGCTTTAGATGTAACAACAGATTGTTACTTTGAAAAGCAACTGGTGTTCAAGTCAATATTTTGTATATTTTCTATCATACATTCCATCATATGACAACATACCGCTTTCCAGTTTGCTCTTTTCAATGGGCCGTCCACTTCCCACTTCTTCTTCGGTTTCAGACCATGAGGTAAAACCTGTAACGCCGGAGGCGGTGGAGACAGTCCTCCCATCGGCGGTGGCGGAGGACCCATTCCCAACATGGGTGGTGGTGGAGGTCCCATTCCAGGCATTGGGGGAGGCGGGGGACCTTTCAAACCGGGCATAGGTGGCGGAGGTGGACATGTCATTCCTGGCATCGGTGGCGGAGGTGGACCACCCGGAAGTGGGGGAGGTGGTGGTGGTGGAGGTAGTCCGGCCATTCCGGGCATAGGTGGCGGAGGTGGACAAACACCGGTTCTCTGGCCAACGGGCTTCGTTCCCGTTCCTTGTTCCAATTCCTTGATTTTGTTTTCCGCGTGTTGTAGCTTCGCTTCGGCCTCTTGTCTGCTGGCTATAGCCTCCTCCAATTTCTGCGTCACCTCTACCAACCGACGTTCCTCCTCAGCCCGTGACTTTTCGACTAGGGTATCGATCAACGGTTGCACGTCAATGTGAAAGCGCTTCGTCGCGCTGAAATCCGGATCACAGCCTGAACGATGCAATACGATTTGCGATATACATTCCTCGATTAATTTGTAATACGCCGGTCTGGAAATAATAGAAGATAAATAAGTACACGTAAGCTTGAATTAAATAAAACAAAATCATATTCAAGCGATAACACTTACCGAACCAGAGCATCATCTCGAATAAATAAAAGATGCTGAAGTATAGATAGGAAATACGGCTCGGCGGTAGTATCCATCACCATGTTCTTTACAACTTCGAAGCAGTCGTTAACGTCGTCCAATTCTAAGCGCACGTTGTCAAATCTTTGTACAAATTCTTCGTAATCTTCCTCCTTGTGATCATTGAAGATCTTCAAATGCGTTGCCAAGTCTTCCGATTCGTCTTTCTCTAACATTTCGAGGATGTCAGCAAGACCGACTCGCATTACCTCATTTCTCAGATGTAAGCGAAAATCTAGATCCTCGGCGGACGAGATTATCGAGTTTATGAGTTGAAGGCACACTACCTATGGCACAATATTCAATTTTGTAATTTAAAAGTGCGTTTCTCTCAATTTCATTCAATTTCTTCTTAGTTGATTTGCAATAATTTAGACAGACATGTCATTTCAACATTTGCACAGCATTTTTTTTTACGTAACAACAAGCTTACCCTTAAATTTTCACTCTGCTTGGTCATCAGTCCTTGCACGATCGGCAGAAATCTTTCGCGACCTTTGAACTCGCCGTTCATAGTGATCGCGTCCAAAACCTTTTTGTGACTATCGCTCGATATGAGACATACCGCGCCGAGTAGCTTCACAGCTTCGGACATTACGGACGGTTTCGTCGGTTCCAACGATCTGGCCACTATTGTAAGTGCTTCCTGATGAGCCAACATCTCCTTTATACCGACGGTATTGTTCATGATAGCCTTTAAGCAGCGAATGCACTCGTACTGTATTCGCTCGTAACGGTTATCACTAAAGAGAGGAACCATTAATTCACAATTAATTCAAATAAAATTATCACGCATCTTGAAGTGGATTCTGCCGTAAGCAGTACGCGCGTCATGCAAAAAAAAAATTAATTAATTAATTAATTAGAAATTAATCAAGTAAAAATATCTCGGCTGAGCGGCGCAAATGAGGTAATCAATCTATTTCAAAAAATGTTTGGCAATAAAATGTTTAGCGTTACGCAATAAAAAAAAACAAAAAATCGTTTGAATTGTTATTATAGCAAAAACTTTCGCTCGTCATATGTGAAACATAACAAGCAGGGGGAAGGGGGGAGGAGAAAAGTAAATTGATGTAATGAAACATTACTGCGGAATGACATTCAAAAGCGAATAGTATACTCTTACGTTAATTACCTATCATAATATATGAAGGCACTGTAATAGAACAATATCAATGTTAGAATCGAATCTTACGTGCTCCGCACCAATACGCTATGTAATTTGTACGAAATTTCATTTGAGGCAACAATTCACGCTTACTTTCGGTAACATTCGTTGAGAGTAGCGAGGACCTGCTTGAGACCCTTCGTGCCGAACTCCTGTACCCAACTCAGCGGATTGTTAGTGAGCGCGATTCTAAGAGACTCGACGCAAGTGTAGATCTTGTTGACGCTCAGATCGGGCTGCGCAAGATAATGTATGTAGTCCGCCGGCTTGTCGAATTTCGATCGGTTCTCTTGCACGGTGCCCTTGTAATGGAGAACCAACATCTCCTTCTTCTTCGTGTCCGACTGTTGCCGCAAAGGTTCCTTCTTCTCCTCCGTTAGATTCATATTGGCCTGAAGCGAGAAACAGATGACTTGGTGTTTAAAAATATTTTTTTAATTTTTATTTTCGCGCTCGCACACACAAGAGACGTAACAAGATTTATATTGGTTTTCTTACGACGAACAATATGACGACGACGCGCATTATCAGAATGAAATTAAATGTAACATATACACAAGTCGCGCAGAGAGATAAGAGAGATCAGCTGTGCGAAGATCTTGTCGCGTTTGTAAATATGTCGCGTCGTCAGAACGAAGAAATATTATAGTGCGCAGGCCTGTGTTCGTCGCGCAATAAGATCAATGTTCGCTCACCAGCATTTCCTCGAACCTGTCGTTCACCGTCTCCTCATCCATCCTCTCGATGATGCAACGTTGTTGCTCGATCTCGTTGATGTCGTCGCCGGAGTGCGGCCTGGGCATGGTGTTGCTGCCCGCGTAGCCGCGCGTGCCATTTCCCCGGCCGGATTTCTTCGGCCGACCGAACCATGTGTCCAACTGCAACAACAATTGTTTATGTCTCATTATCTTTTTCGCAGTTTAATTGATCAAAAACTCGCTTTACCGATTATTTTTGTTTTCAACTTACGCAATACAAAGACAACGATACAATAATTCATTAAAATAATTTTTTTAATTAAAAAACTAGCAACATTATTATTGCAATTGTTTTTGTTTTTACAGAACTTTACTAAAGTGATAAATGAACAATCGAGCTGGCGATCTACGAAGCTAACGAGCTATGAACAGGAATAATTCTCCGCGCGAGATCGACACGGAGATCGTCGACGACGCGGAGATGACGATCGTTGAATTCCACTGCGCTATAAAACACAACGAGCCGCAAAGGTAAGAAAACAAAAGTGCGACCTCGTTCGAATGTAAATTCGATCGGCTCGCGAGGTCGTTTTACGATAAACCGTTGCATTCCGATGTACGGGTTCGATTGTAAATGTTTCTCTTTTTGGCGGGGCAACAACGTCGTGTGCGCGAAACGCAGACTCGCGTTTCACACACACACACACGATGATGTAATACGCGCGATAACTCGCTCGCAAGAGCGCGCAAACGACGACGCGCACCGGTAAAGTGCAATCGAAATTTTTCCGGGATGAAATCGCGCGCCGGAGCTGGAAGCAATTATTCTATCCATTTACCGCGAGGTAAAGTAACTGGACACGCGCACAGGCGTCAAGCGCCGAAGGTAGCTCCGGCTCCGAGGAGGAAGCGTTAAAACCGCGCGCATTCGTCGTCTCTCGGCTCTGTCGAGACCAAAGTCCGCTTCTCGAAAATCCCGAGACTCAATCGCGCGCCGGAGGCTATTACACACGGACTTCATTAATAGGCAAGGCGGACGTGACGCGTGCGAAATTTTTAAGCGCACGCATTGAAAATTAAGTTCTATTATGAATTCTTCGACTGTTCGCGATCAACACATGCCGGATATACAGTTAAAAATGACGACTATATGTATTATTACCACAACTGCGTGCGATCAGATCATCTAGCCAGAACTTTTTAGCAGCGCGCAACTTTGAGCTCAATGATGAAACGACTGGATGACGCGTTTTACGCGCACGTGGCGTTTTTCAAAAAAAAAAAAATAAATAAATAAAAAATTAAACTCCGCGGAATACATTTTTATCTGACGAGTTATTAACGTAGTAAGAAATGCGATTGACAAAATAGTATTAGCGATGACATCAGTTTCCACGGATGCGGTTTTAATCTCTTCACTTATGTGTGTGTGTGTGTGTGTGTACGATGGAAGATAGCGCGGTAATATCGGAAGATGACAGAGCAGCGACAAAAATTAATTGCCGAGTAATAAATTACTGCCTGTGCGCAAAATTGGTACAAGCGAGTAATTTCGTCTCAAACTTCAGCGTTTCCGAGCAAGCTCCTCCGAACGGTACCAATTACTTCGTGTTGTTTTCTTCCTCTTTTTTTTTTAAAGCCAGTTCTTCTTATCAACGCAGTAAATTTAGAAGATTCGACTATTTTTACTCTAATCGTTCATTCTTTTGTTAGTCTAGAATCATTCAAGCGTTCCTTTAAAACTCTTTGATACAAATGGCTACTATACGTGTGAGACACGTGTGCGCGCACACACACATAAGAAATTGATTTTATGTGTAATTGCCGTAAAAGAACCGTATCCTTCCAGTGTCCAAATAAAGTCTTACCCAGTCCGTGATCATTGCGACGTGTGTTTCGCGACAAGACACTTCGGGGACAATTAAAAACCTTCGGCGAGCGGTGACGAATGACTCATGTCAAGCCTTACACGCGCGTAACGTCCCAAAGTCCCAAGCGCGCGCGCGCGCGCGCTCACGAACGGAGCGACGCGGACGGACGCACTTTTATTTTTAGGCAAAACCCACGCAAGCTCGTGACACTCATTCACACTCAGTCGTTCGCTTCTTTTTACCGCGTATCACTTTTTTAAAGCTTCAAGGCACTTGAGAGACGATTTTTTCGTATCATCGCACAACGGACGCGTTAACCGACTTCTAGCTCGCGCGTTAAACAAAAAAAAATCTCGCGACAGCTTCGAACGCACACACACGTTTATATTCTCCTTTCGACGGAAACACCGACTGACGTTTCCATCCAGGCATTCACGCGACGTGCGTGAATACATACGTATACATATGTATGTATGTATGTATTTCAATCGCGCGCACAAATACTGTTGTTGTGGCAAACCGGCTCGATTGAACACACCTTTCGATGATGCGCAGGAGAACAATGAGCGCGAGGAACGCGTGTGTGGGAGCGCGACGATGTGTCAATTAGTCGGACAGATTAGAGCGCGAGTATATACACAGTCGATAAACGAAACAATTAATCGCGCGCGCACACAGAGTTGTGTGTCTAATGTCAATTTAATGATCCTCAGGAGGAAAGTCCAAGTGTCGAGAGATCAAAAAAAACGCTGCTTTATCGAATTAAACAATAATCCATGTTTACACACATTTCAATAATAAATAATAATACGCAATAATACACGTGACAGAGAGTTTTCACTCACACGCGCGTACAAATACAACGACCAACTGCACAACTCGCGTTTTAACAAGCGTGCATATTTATCACCGCTATCTTCCCATTCAAAGTGTCATTATCGATATAACGGATTCCTCCCACACACACACACACACACACATACGTTATTCGCGATTACGCAATCGCGCACTGTCAAAGAGCGAGGGAGTCAAGTGGGCCTGCGGCGGGGAAAGAAGAAAAGCGGACGACGTGAACCGCGAGGAAGAAACGGCGACGGACTGACTCGGTGGTTTGACTCAGGACGGTCCAGGACGCCCGGGTGCGCTCACGGCACATTCCCCTTCCTCGAGCGCTTCGATCTCTCAGACCGCGAATGGTCGCGCAAACACACCCGCGCGCAGCACCCAGAAGAGACACGCAAACGATTTATTTATAACGACTGATTTATTTGTTACACATTATTCGAGAGAACCACGTTATCAGCGCACACACGCGACCAACATCATCGAACCCAGCCCAAAAAGGTAATATGAGAATTCGGCCGTGCGCGCTTGTTTCCTCGCAAAAAGACGACATTGTGTGTCCGAGAACGACGTTTCTCACTTTCCTCGATTAACTCGATCGACAAAAGTTTCTTCCATTTTTTTTTACTCATTTTATTGTCCATTTTTTCTGTTTTTCTATACGTTCAAAAATTGTCTCTCGTAGCGATATAAAAATCGAAACTAAAAAAAACTCGCGTGGAACGGAAAAGATGAATGTTTTTTTTTTAATCAAACGCGCGGCGATCATAGTGACGGCGATTTTCGCGATTAAGCAAGTCCGACGCGACGAAACGATTCGCAACGCGAAATTATCGCGATTGAATGTAGAAAGTTTTATCCGGCCAATCTTTCCACTTCTTCTCTATTCGAGTTTCTTTCCCCCGCAAAGAAGATTACTGTCGCGGCAGCTCGCAATGCCTTCGCTGCGCAATGAAGATTTTTAATTTTGCATCTCGTTTGTTTTTTTCACACGTCGCGAAGCGCGAGCTTCGCAAGTTTTCCACGAACATTTTCTTTTTCACGCATCAGTCCTAGAACTCGCCCGGTCGAATTTCTCTACTCTCCTGGCGAGAAACTGACGTCTTCGTTTTTTTTTTCCCACGTTCTTTCGAAGCGCACAAAAAAAAAAAAAAAAAAAAAAAAAAAAAAAAAAAAAAAAAAAAANNNAAAAAAAAAAAAAAACAATGACATCAAGAACAAAAGCGTACGAAGTGTACTTCGATCATTCGGTCAATTATCATCACACGTTTAAGTGGAGAGAGACTATTAAAACCGGTAATCTCTCATTACTCAAAGCCGACTCCTTGTTGCAATACAAAAACCTCGATGTTAATTAGTCCAAGAAAGCAAAAAGGGAAACACGTAGAGGAAAAAAAAAACGATACGTTCCGTATCTCTTCTCGCGCTCGGTCTCGCCGTTCTCGAAGAGAACAAGAAAAAAAAAAAAAGGAAAACGCGGACAACAGAAGCAGAAGCTTCGAAGCGCGGAAAAGATAAGAGGCACAGAACGCCGGTCGCAAAATCTGTCGCATGCGAGCAACGTATGTATCACGCAATTTCGTGAGCGCGCCGAGATCGGACTCGTTTACTTTGACGACGATCGCGTAAGAAGGTGCGCCCGTACATATGTAAAATGTATATATACATATATATATATGTATCCACATTGCAGGCGCAGAGTCGGTACAGTTAGGCCGTAACGTAAGATTAACATAACGGCATCGCGGTGAAATTAAAGAAATCAAAAAGAGAGAAGATCGCCGCGCGTCCCAGCGCGTACACTCTTTACGGTTCGCTCGCGTATCGCGGAACCGTATCTTTTCTTCTCCGCGCGCGGTGACCGCTTATCATCAGACGCGCGCGGAGAGCTCATGCCTGAAATTTACAAGTCGGTGTGTATGTGTGCGCGCGCGCGCGCGCGCCGATTCCGAGAGTTCCTTCAAGCCGACTTCGAAACGTGTGCGCGTGTATTTCTTCTCTCCGTAGTACACGAACACAGGTCGGACACAGTCTCGAGAGAGCCGGGTGTGCGAATTGCGCGAGTCAAAAGCGGATTAGAATTTAAGAATCGTAATAGCTCTTCTCACGCGCGTCCGAAACTATCGTCTTACAGTCCGATTGCCACCGTCTCGCGGCTCGTGTGTGCGGCTAAATAGCGTTTAAATGCGTTTAGATGCGATGACACGAGCGGATCTTCATCCTAATGTGGTGTATGTGTGTATCAGACGCGCGCGCGCATGACGTCATGGGTCGAGAAACTTAATTAATTTGTTTCACTTAAAAAGTTCGAGCCTCTTCACGGGTAATTTAAGTAGTTGATTGCGCATACACCTCGCGCTCGTATATTTTCACTGTTTTGCGTCCGTTGTAAAAATATGCACGGGTGTTGATTTCGCTCTATTGTTACATGGATTTTCTACATCAGTTTTCTTTTTTTTTTTTTTTTTCACAGGAAGACTTTTCTGCGACAAAGCGCCGCGTCGTCGTAGGAGATAGAAGAAGAGCGGCTCTATCTCCTACGATCATTTCTTCGAAGTTGGAAGAAACTTTCTCTTTCGTTTTCTTGAACGTCATAATCGCGGGATGGCAGAATGTTATTCTTGACGCGGTTTACGTCATCACGCTACCAATAAGTATTCTCTCTCACCGACCCTTCGCGGATTGTGTTTTCCAGTTCCTTTATCTCTGTTTTGACAACGATTCTCTTTCGATCTCTCTCTCTCTCTGTCTCTCTTTCTCGCAAGCGCACTCGCGAGATTATTATCTTACGCGGTATCGCAATATTTCTCCTTCCACGCGGAACGTATTGTATCTCCGTTTCGATCTGTCCACTTGAATTACACCGAAATCACGACGTTGCGACTCGTTCCGACAAACTTGTTCCAACATCTGTAGGTGCTTAAAAAGAGATACTTTATTTATGTGTATAAAACATTTAAATTTAATATGTCCGTAGTCGAAACTGTCTAACTGTGTAAGAGTAGACAGAGAAAAAAAAACAGAAAGGATTCGGGAAAGTAACTTCTTTCTACCATTTTTCGACATTTACCTTCGAGCTGTCCCCGGGGTCCTTCACGCCGACCATATGGTCGACCCCGACCGAAAAGGACAAATCGCCTTTGTGAGTCATGAGAATCCTTGCGGAATGTGATCACACCGAACGAGCTACGTCACGGCTCCGAATAAACCAAGTTCTCGTGGCCAACGTTTCGATAAAAAAAAAGGATGAAACACGTCACGGCCATTCGTCACCGATAAATGGTCGTGAGGACAACACACAATCGCGTCCTATACCTAAGAAGACCTAAAGCTCTCAGCTTTACGTAGATCGAAAACATATTTGTAGTTCGACCGCGTGTATTGAGTTTCTACACTGTAATGTCAGTGGCGTGGAAAAAAAAAAAAAAAAATTACCCCTAGTGACGAGTATGTAACTTCAGGTATATATACAAGAAAACACATAGTTGAAAACACTTGAGAAACGAAGGAATCCCTGGTGCGAACTCCGCGGATTCGAGATGTATGTATGTATGTATGTTACATATACTGCGCGAAATGCTGCCGTCTCTGTATTTTGGCGAGGCGTCGCGTTACGTAACGCTCTATATACGCCAGGCGTATAAACGGCCACCTGTTCTATCGCGCCGCCGCATTAATGATCACGATATGATAATGACGGAAACACAAACGGGGCCACTTGAGAAAAATTTTCTCAACGAGGTAAAAGCTTATCAAAAGATAAAGAGAGACAGAGAGAGTGAGAGAGAGAGAGAGAAACAAATACATAGAAAAAAATACTGTGTAATTAACAAAAACATCTTTCAATTCTTTTAATTAAATAACTAACTGTGTAATTAAATTGCAACACTAAAAATCTCTCGCCAAGATGTACAAGCTCCTCTTCTATTGGCACAAAGAAAGATACTTTTCCACCGATAACTCGAGGCGGAGTATCATGCGTTGCATAATGCAATTCTCCCGGGCTCCTATTTCGCATATCTTTTTCTTTTTTATCTTTTTTTACTCGCGTTTCAACTCCCCCATCAAGAGCGCGATCAACGCGCCTCGCGGGGGTTTTCCACGCTCTCCTCGGCGAGGGGATTTACACAAGCGGTTTTAATTACTCCCGGTTACAAGCCGGAAGAAAAAAATACTCCCGATTATTACAGATGATCTCACTCGTGAACGCGGTCGGACGATGACGCCAGCGATTCGACCTTCCGTCGGCACTCGAAGAAGCGAGAGCGAGAGAGAGAGAGAGAGAGAAAAAGAGAAAGAGAGATCGAAACGGTGTCACGCGAAATTCCAATAGGCGCACACGCGCGCCTTTGACTTCTTTTCCCTCCTTTTTTTTTTTCCCGTCGTCGACCTACGCGCGCGTCCGAAAGGATATCCTCGCGGACGTCGCGCGAAAAAAGAAGACCACGCGGGATCCCGTCGTCGTCAATTACCACCTCGGCGTTTTTTTTTTTTTTTTTTTTTTATTTAGCGCCGCGAATTGTTGGCAAAATTTTCAACACGCCGTGTTGAATATATTTCTTCTCGAGAATAAAAACGACGAGAGAAAAATGTCGCGAACGCGAGAACTCGGCGCGTAAAAATGACGCACGAACGTTGTTTAAAAATGTTGTGTGTATTACGGCATGTTGTTGAAGCGCGATGCCTTTTGCTGCGATGTCACAAACGGTGGTGTTGATAACACGAAACAGGAAACTCGGTACATGCCCACATGTGGCGTGTATCGCTATGGAATTCCTACGTTATGCAGTTTATCGCGAGAGGCATCATTTTCACAGCGACACTTAAGCGGCGATCAATAAATAAGTAGAAAAAAAAAAAAAAAAAAAAAAATGTGCGTTTGCTCCGATTATTGCGTTGTTTTATTGCACAACCTGGTGAGCGTGACTCATCATCTATTTGGAAAAAACAAAAATCAATATATCTTGAAACTCATTTTCTAAACACTCTTTTTTACGCATATCACGTTCCAATTAAACTCGGTGCTTCGAATAAACATTTAACGAAAAATCGATCGAAGCAATCGCGATGTAAATCTGAGAAAATTGTTCCTACCTTGATGCTAGCCTCGGCTTTGTGATACCACGACTTTCTTCTCTCAATACCCGACATTTTTACACTTTCTCTCTTTTGTTTTAGCTCGATTTAATATAACTCTCTTGGTTCCACTTCGTGTTCGCGCATTATCGCGCGAAAAATCGTCGTCGTGCAAACGCGACGGTCACTCACTACTGATCGAAAGAACAACGCACAGCTGAGCGAGACCGGAAAAAAAAAAGGGAAAAAAAGAAAAAAACAGGTAGAGCGATCGGTGGCGCTCGATTGCAACCCGACGTTGTCGAACTACGCGACTGTCGCACGTAAGCAGCGCTAAAGTCCCCTGTTTTATTGATACCGACTTATCTTGCGCGTAAAACTCGCAGATAAGAAGCGCAGAAAGGTATGCGTATCTTGACAAGTGTATGTTACTAAAGAAATGATCGATAATTGCTCATTAGAATTAGAACCGTTACCAATGTATGTTCGACTTCAGAATCCTTATCGTTTCTGTATAAACTTTGATCGCATTGAATCACAGATATGAAACTTAGTTTTTATGTGTGGACTTTTCGACGTTTATCTATTTGTCGAATTATTTATTAATTCTAATTTTTTTTTTTTTTTTGGACTATTGTACGTGTATCATTTCGTATATATATATATTTCTTGATAAATTTGTGAAACTGTAGCTTCTGCGTAATAATTTATTAACTATGTCAGAGTTAACAAATTGTTGCGACAAAAGATACTTCTGGTTAGAGATTAAAATAGTTTTACTTACAAAACCCGTAGGCTTTTCCCTTCTGTTCGCCATAGTCCTGCTTTCTGAACGTTACCTTCCTCGATGCATTTCTTTATCCTGAAAATAAAAAAAAAAATGAAACAATTATACAAATAATACAACAAATTAACGTGTCAAAATTTCTAATTATTGATTTCAATATCAAACATTTATAATAGACTCTATGGTGATTTTGCACACATAAACCCAGGTGGTTTAAATGGAATAAATGATTCTTTTATCAAAGAGGAACACGATATGTCTTATAGTTATCACTGCACAAACATACAATGAGTCAGACCGAGTCACAAGTTAACAATCAATAAAACACTTTTGTAACTTTTCCATTTTACAGAACGGATTATTGAATGCACACACACATGTATAAATTCAAAAACTAATAACAAACATTCGAGATGTTTATTATTTATTAATTCTGCTGCTCGAGTGCTGAAAAAAAAAAAAAATGATAAGTATATTTTTTTCATGTAAAAATGTCTCAGGCGTGTATGTGCGTTCATGTAAATAAAGTTATTTGCTGAGAATACAAAGGGAAATATACACACATCAGAGGAAGAGATCAGTTTGAAAATATACAATACGTATCCCGTGTGTGTGTGTGTGTGTGATGAAGCAACTACACTAAACCGTCAATACTGGCAATATTGACAAACGACTTTGAACAAGAACAACATCCACCTTGGATACGAAAACACATTTGAATCTTTTAGCGTGATCTGCCGACGGAACGTTAGACAAATCACTGACCCCGTTGGATAGGTTAACGATCAACGAGGAGTTGATTGTTTTCCTCCGCGTTGAATGAACGATCTCATCTCTTCCTCGTTCCCGGACACGATCATTGTTTATTACCTGAATTTTTTTTTATCGAAGCGTCTCGGACGGATTCGCGCGGCTTTTTACGTGAGAGAGAAACGGTCACTCGGACGATTGTTCGATTAGCGTCGATTTTTCGCGAAACGACAAAATCGACAGGAATTGGCGCGTGTGCGCGAATAAACGCGTGTCGAGCGACAGGGCGCGCGACTCCTCGCAGAAATTTCGCCGACCTCGCCAAAGCGAACTGCGGGAACAAGCGCGTCCGTTACTGTTCGCCGTACTTGTTGCAACGATTCCAAATTGCGCGAAAGCACACAACGTGCGAACCAGGAGGCGAGAGCGGGTCGGAGAGGACGGGGGACGATTGAGTCGTTCGTGCCGCAAAATCGAAAGAGATGGCGCAACGCTCGCGCGCTGATGACGGATCTTAGGCTGATAGGTTGCGCTACAGGTTGTCGGGATTGTGTGTCGACCAATCAAAGCGACCTGGCTCTGAAAGCTACTTTGCTCTGATTGATCAATCAGAGCAACCGGCGGTCTCTTGAGTACAAACTTTAGACCAGATCTACAACGCAAAAGGAATTTTCTTTTTTTCGTAGAACTTGGCTTTAATTTACTTTTTATAAAAAAAAATTGCAAGCTGCTAATTACAAAAAATTTTTTCAATTCCGTTTTTATTTTATTGTTTTTGATGAAGTATAAATATGAATTCTCTGCACGAGACGCCGGCTGTACAGACCAAACACGAGACGCGTCGGCCAATCAACGTCTTACTTTTGTCGAAAACGTCCTGTGTACAAGACATAAGACTTTAAATCGAGAGGTTATTAACTATATCTAAACCAAACCACATTCCAATCTACTCTCAAGCCTAAGGCTGTGTCCAGTCTGGTAGAATTGACTAATCGTATTGATCAAATCAGCCAATTGATCAGCGTGATTGATCAATACTACGAGATTTATACCTGGGTGCGTTCAGACAACTCAACGGTTGAGAGATCATCACTTATGATAGGACTATTCTTCAAAATCTACTGCGGTTCCAAAAGTATGATCCAATCAAAAGTGATTATCTCTCAACCGTTGTGCAACTGTTGAGTTGTCTGAACGCACCCCTTGCGTTTGCGATCAATGTAGAACGGGCTTTATGTTCACACGTGGACATAGTTCTATTCCGTGCTACGTCCACAGCATGCAGTTCTATACCGCGTTCAATTTGAGAAAAGAAACCGAATAATTAAGATAATCCAGATAAATCAGATAATTCAGATAATTTAGATGATTCAGATCAATTTACCTGGTCAATATGTGAGCCCAACAGGTCAATATTACAACGTTGGCGTACAAGACGGAAAAGTTATTACAGTTTTTCATACCTAGCTGCTCTCAGTCTTCTCTCGTTTGGGATCCACATCTATCGGTAATCGATAAGGTTGGTAGCCGCTGATAATCTGACTCACTCACTGCGCGAAATATATCCAGATGACAGCACAATAACACATCACGTTGCCTTTTCCCGTTTCTCCTTGTTTCTTTCTTCTCCTTTCTCTTTCTTTTTCCGTGCGTTTTTAAACCGAGCCTCTCGTTCGGACTCGGTTTGCTTCGGTTCTGCGCGCCTCCTCCACCTCCGCCTTCATCATCCCACTTTGCCGTTTGCTTCTCGCCTCACCTCACCTCACCTTGTCATCCCGCTTCTCATCGTCGCGTCTCTTGGTCGCGTTCGTCGCGCGTCCGCGCCACATAACTTGAAAACTCGCGTCGGAACCCGGACGCGCGATGCGCACCGTCGGAATTCGCGAAATTGTCAATCGCGCGTCCCCCCAACCTCCTCCGCTCACGATCGTCCCGATCGCGGAAGTGAGCGCCGCGGTCATCGAGCGAGTACGCGCCGCGACACGCGATCGGCAATAAAATTTATATATTTATCTTGACATGTCTCTCGGTGCGCGCACCGAGTACCCGATCGTCGGATTCAGCGCCGAGCGCCTCGTATTCACGCCTAAAAGTACATCGAGCGAATCGCAGTCTCGTTGAAGTATACATATTCGCCGCCCCCCCCCCCCCCGGTCGGGAACGTCGGCTACGTCGTCGCAACGACAATTTTTTCACGGGATACGGCACGCGAACACGAAAAAAAAAGAAAAAAAAAGTGTCACACGTTCCGGTGGGCTCCGAATTTTTGGGTACCGGAAGTGCTACAAGTGTGACCGGCAGTGTGACCGAGTGAGACCGGAAGTTCGAGATCCTTATCACGGGATACGAGGAATTTGGAATTGAGGTGCGTTCAAATTTTTTTTAATCTTCATTTTTCTTTTCCAGCCCTGGAACGACGGTGTTGTATTTTTTGTCATTGACATCACACACAGAGATCATGGGAGAACAATCTCACTCTCGGTAAATTATTTATTTTTTAAGGATTCTGCTTGTGACGTTTAGATATATTGCACACATATATACACACACACACACACACATATATTAAAAATCTCTCTATTTTACATTTTTAAAGTTTTTATTATAATTATGTTCAAGGTGTCAATCGCATTGGCTTGGTCCAAGTTTTAGATCATCGAATTTGAATAGAAAATCGAAAAAAAACGCGAAGTAAGGTTGAGCATCAAGGTTTGACTCACGCTTTCGCATTGGCACGAGAGAGTCGCTCGCTCTACTACCAATTAGACTATTAGACCTCGTCATTGGAATGTCGTTCGTGGAAAGGCGAATAAGTTGGGAAACCACTTACCATATATATATATATATATATATATATATATATATGTATGTTTTTATTCTCCCGATCCGCGTGAACACTCGTGATAAGAGACACTTGCATCGAATGTCGCGCGAATTTCTATGCAAATGTGCTGATTAACTTTGAAGTTGAAGTCAATGTACTTGTGCGAACGTTTGTAGAGACGGAATAACTAAACCGGAAAAAAAGTGAAGAGCGTAAGAGAGAGAGAGAGAGAGAGAGAGAGAAAGAAAGAGATATCCAAAGATATGTCGTTTCACAGAGAGAGAAAGAGAGAGAGAGAGAGAGAGAGAGAGAAAGAGAATCGTCCGTATTTCCGTGAATATTTTATCAAGTATCGTCAATGTGTTACATCTGCGAATTCGCTTCTCTTTTTGTTATTTTTTTTTTTTT